GGACAAAACTTCGGCGGGGGAGCTCGATACTTGGTTCATATACGCTGATACCAACAATCAATACGAAACTAACGATTTTAAATTGGCTCACCACTTTAGTAGCCTATTGGTCCCAAGCAAACGATTAACGTACCCCATTCTAGTCGAAATTCTATTACTACACTATGTTTGTTTTGATTCGCTATGAAAGTTTGACAGATAACATCAGGGGTGTGTGGATTCATGCAGAACATGCAGGGGTGAGTGAAATAGCTTGGGACTGCTTGGGACCGTTGTTCTGGTACTGAGTGAGCCAAAAATAATAATGATTTTCTTCGGGACACAGTGGTCTTAGAGTTACCTCTATGCTGATACCGTCGAAGAATTCCTGCATAGCCTATGGGAAAAGTCCAAAAAGCATCTCATCCGACACATCATAGCTGTTTGTGATGATGAAGGCAACATCACCTACAACTGGAGCCCGAAGGAGGTAATCGATGAAACCGATTTAGTTAATTTTGCTTTGTTTTACGACAAACAAAATCGTCGAGCAATCACAGTGGATAAACTAACAACTAATATTCTGCAAAACTGGCGCACCAAATCTTCTGTCGAGCTGCTACTTCACAAATATTCGCTGACAGTCAATTCGAAGACCGTATGGAAAAAAGTAGAGAAATCATTAATTGACACAATTCCAAGAAATCGAGGAGGTGCTGAATACGCTCAGGAGTTGGCGAAAGAATTACAACTGAAGCACGGACACATCTGGAATGGTCATGAAATAGCGTGGAGCATCTGGGCAAATACAATTTTAACTGCACCAGCTCATCAGCACGAGGCATTGAAGAATGATTCGACTCCTCCTGCTAACTGCTTGGATCTGTTTTCAATTAAAGAAGGCGAACATATTCCGAGAATCCGTCGAGAGCATCGTGTTGCTCACAACGTGAACGATGGCTACCATGCAGATATTACGAAAATTATGGATGCATTCACTGCGGTTAAAGAAATACATCAAGAGCAAACACAGAGGATTTCCGCTTTGGAACGACTACTGGAAAATCTGATGCTTAGGAGCCAACTGGGTGAATCTTTCATTAGTTCTGCTGAGTCAGCTGTAAACGTGAAGGAGAGTGAGTTTTTCGCTTCCATTTCGTCTAGAGTACAAGATGCTGAAGATGTTGATCACATGATGTAAGATTTTACGAAATGGGATGTGTAATAAAATACATGAATTTGTTGTGGCTTATCCGAAAATAGGTACAAAAGAGTTTTATTTGATCAAACCAGAAATGTGTTGACGGTTCATCTAATTTGAATTCCTCTTGGTGCTATTTTTTTCAAATTCAAACGCCGACAGGTTCGATTGATCGTTTACAGTAGGATCAAACTTACCACCTTTCATATATCCGCACTTCCGGAACAGGTTGTTCATATTATAGTTGGAAAAATGTTTCATTATTTTAGCAACCATGTATTTGAGGTTGATTTTTCCACTTTCATCGTATTCACGCTGAAGCCGTTTTTTGCACATTCCGAAAAGTACCTCGATTGGGTTCATATGGGGACAATAAGCTGGTAAGAACACCAAATGTATCCCCAGTGATCTAAAATAATACACCAAATTGGGGTCACAATGGATTCGTGCCCTATCGAGAATCCAGAGGGAATGGAACCCTGGATGGTGTTGAATATATCCACTGTTAAGAGCAAACATTTTACAACACTCAAAGAATTTAGATCGTGTGAATGTTCCTTCAGTATGGCAAACTTCTACCATTCCACCTTGCCCTGCAAAATACAAAAGCGATTCTGGAGGTTTGCGAACAAATTCACCTTTAAACAGAAGTCGCTTTCCACGAGCTCCGAATCCTTTTGTTCGTAACATTGCCTTGTTATCGAATCCCACTTCGTCAATGAACAAAAGGTTGTGGTAATCCCACTGCAGAGCTGATAGTTCATTAAAATATCTGATAATGTCACATTCACGTATCTGTATGGCTCTTCGTTCAATTGTCTTCCACGACATTCCTTCGTGATGAAGAATTCTACAAATGGATGCTGTAGAAATGGTTATATGGAAATGTTTTAAAAAGAGTTTTGCTGCTTCGTCCAGGAATGTAGTTGGCTTGATTGGTAAAGCTCCACTAGCCGCCATCGTCGTTTTTTCGCCCCAAATATTTGTGCTGTTCTGGTATAACTGGTTCGGTTGAAGAATCCATCATCCTCGTATCTTCGTATCCAGTTAGAAATTGTCGTCTTATTTTTCTTGTGCTCTTTTAAGCCCCAAGAAGTAATAGCCATACAGTACATGATAAACTGTGTTGACTGTAGCTCGACGGTTTTTCACCACTACCAGAATATTCGCCATATCTAATTGAACAGAGCAACATTATTCAATTTTGTTTTTAATTAATAAATGTATTCTTTTTTAATGTTTACCATATCACTTCTTCTGTATTAATGGAAATGAAGTTCACTCACAAGGAATAATAATGTTTTGAAATCATTTGTTTGTAAATAAACACATATGTTGATCAAACCGAACGTCACTATGATGTCAGTTTGACAGTGCAAAATAAGAGTTGAGCAGCGGAATGATTATCACAGAAGTCGAAACAATTATAAAAGATGCAATAAAAACTTTTGTTTATGCGTGGAGTGAATTGCAAACTTTCAGTAGCTTGACAGTGGCTGAGAAGCTATCTCGTAACTCGTTAAACGTCACCTTGAACGTCACTCACAGCTGCCGTTAAACTGTCATACGAGGGGCTAATCAAAGTGCTTGATTGAAAAGCGTTATATTTTGATACACTCAAAACATGAATAGGGTAAATTTGATTATATTATACCATAAGGGACTGGTCATAAACTACGTAGACAGCTTAGGGGGGGGTTGGCAATCATCAACGCCCCGTATTTTTTTGTATTGACAATTGTCTACGCAAGGGGAGGTCAAGAATAGAAAAAAAAACTGTCTACGTAGTTAAGGGGTTACGCCTACCTGCAAGACCGAAAAAAAGCGAAAGTTTGGATTTTTTTTCTCGAAAACGACGCAACATATTGAAAATCGGGTTTCTGCCGTTTATTGAACACACATTAAATGGTACATTTATCAGTCGATGCTGTAAAAACGAGGTCCTGGTGCCCCGCACGGCTGCTCCCCGTGGACGATGTTCTAAAAAACGCTTTTTGCGGTGCCAACTGCGGTTTGTGATGTAATCATCTGAAATAAAAAAAAACCATGCCAAATCGTTAAGCATGTGTTAAACTAGTCCTTGATCGTTTGGTTTTTTTTTTTTTTTTTTTTTTGACGAAATGGCGGCCTTGCAAAGTTGAAGTGCCGATTTTTGATCCTTAAAATTTGTCTTTGATCGGCTGTAAAAAATCGAAATTAAATGATAGACGAAATCCGAACGATCGTGGACTGCACAAAATAGTACTGAACAGAAATCAAAATGAATCGGACGAATCGAATGTATACGTTTCGAGAAATTTTTGGCACCGGTTTTGAAAATATGATTCCGAGATAATCGCGTGTAAAGTTTCAAGTTGGGTTCAGTCCACTATAAGTGAATATTTTTGTACGTCGCATAACTTTCACAATTTTCATCGGATCAACTTGATCTTTTGAGGAAATATTCTTGACTTTATATACTTTCGATTCGGATTATAAAAAAAATCGATTTTTTGAAAGTTTGCAGGTAGACGAAATCCTTTAATGAACAGCCCCTAAACATTTAAAATAATAGCCAATAGTAATCGCCCAATTAGGTTCATTTTTTATTCGAATGAAAACAAATTTTTACGTTTACGTTTTACCAAAAGAAGAGTACTAGATTTTACGAAACAAAAAAGATGTACGTACGGTAACCATAAAACCGTATTCTTTTCACAATGTCAGCTCAAGTTATCCAGTCCCGAATGGGCTTCAGTCACATCGTTTGACCACACTCATTTCATTCATAAACCAATACTGCCACTCCGTTCCTCATCCACTAGCACCACTAGCACTACCAAAAGCGGCATGTTCCCTAATGCACCCTGACATGACGCGACGGGCGGAGAACGAAGCACAACATGAAATGGCACAGATCATATCTTGTTTCCCCTCCCCTAGTGCATGCTGGCACCGTAGCGTTGAGTTGAAGAACAGTAAGAGTAAATTATTTTCAAGCAAGATCGGCTAGCCTGCACGATGGATAGATCAAACGCTCGCACACTTCGTAATTGTTTTGTTACGTATGGAAAATTAAATTGATGTATTGGCTTTATAATGGAAAGCGCAGCTTGGTTCAAGCGGAATATAGAAGGGGGAGGAGCGCGATCCCTGATGTGTGTTTGACGATTATTAACTTCGCTAAACGCTTTGTGCTCCTGATGCAAGGGACGACGGTAAATTTGAGGGGTGGAACGCGTGCGCTCTCTTCGGGACTGAGAGTTTCTGCACTTGTTGGTGTCCCTTGATGGATGATGGGGGAAGTATCTATTGTGTGACGATTAGATTTAGATTAGGCCTGCTCGGAAGAACATGCCGCCTTGGTATAAGTATATAGAGACAATTTGTCACGTAGGTTGCGTTGGGTTATTATTGAGGGCTAGACGACTAGCCGCTAGTCGGTGTCATCAGGTTGCGCGTGTCACAGTGAATGGTTTACGGTTGTCCATCCATATCTACTTGAAGGATTACGACGGTATGGATTATGATGTATAAGGGGGTGCTGAACCTGTTGAAAGTGTGAACACGTGCCACAGTCAAAGACCGCAAGGTTTTGGTTTTAATTGTTACTAATGGTGATTTATTGAATATATATACTGAAATTTTCTACAAAAATAAAACAAAACAAATCTTCCGGGATGGTCCAATGGACCATCCAGGAAGATATCACTTTGGAAACTGTCGGAACAAGAGGCAGTATTTTTCTTTGGAAATTCGAAGCCTTCTTCCCCGTTCTGGTAGGGATGATACCAGTTCTTAGCTAAGAACAAATTTCTTGGGAGGTTTTGCGTTCTGAGCTATGAATCGGAATCTTCATTGGGGATGGCAGTTGTTTTAGCTACACGTGCTTAGTAGTGCTTGTAGGAGGCTGGTTCCGGCTGGCTGTAGTGCACATCACTGTGGCTTTCCGGATGGCTTCCGGCTTTAGCGTAGGCTTCAACCAGGGCCTTTGGTAGTGGTGGTGCAGTTGGGATGTGCGATCCCTTGGCCTGGAAACCGTTCTCGTCAGCAGTGTAGCTCACGGAAACTGGGACACCATGGGGGTCGACGTACGAGTACGATCCGTGGACAACGTTGGCATTTTCCTTGCCTCCATTGTTCTTGACGTAGCCCTGTTCCTGAACCGAGATTCCGTTGGCCGATTCGTAGCCGTGCTTGAAGCTTCCATCATGTCCATGGTATGATTCACTGTGGACAATTGGGATGTGCTTGTGTTCCACGTGGTGGTATTCGACGGCTATGGCAACGGCCAGCAGGGCGGACAATGTGATGAACTGTAATCACCAAGAAAAGAAGGAAAATCACTTTAGAACTCACACACTGAAAAACACTCGCAATGTTTCACTCACAAGTTTCATTTTTGCAGTCAAGCTTAGGAGATCAGATGAAATGATACAAATTGGTTTGTTGAAAGTGGACTGATACTTTTTCAATTCGATGCATTACTATTTATACGGACTAAGAAGACATCCACCCGAAATCCAAATGTGCTTCTTGCCAACACCAAACGAGAAAAACCTTCCTCCACCCCACAAGTAGGCACATACGAACACCCCCTTTTCCCTGCCGCCGCCAAGTATGTATGTTTTTCTTACTTTTTGCCACAAGAGCTCACATAATGCTCTTTTGCCATCGATCGATCGTCGTCCTCCCAACCAAAGAGAGCGCATAAAAAAAAATCAATCACACACAAATCGCGAGCATCTTGCTGCCACTTTTTGAATTATTATTACAGATTTTGTTGTTCTCCACCGTTGCCGATGCCGTCGTCACCGTTGTCGTCGATGGTGATTCCAAAATTCACCATACGGGTTTGGCTCTCTTTCTTTTATTCAACGGCAACGGTCGGTCAATTTGGGGCCAGACTGGGGCAAGAAATCAATACCCTCTAATAAGGCATCGATGACCAGCCAGGTAGGTGCCTAATAGCGTAACCAAGCCGGCATATTCACCACGATCGATCGAGATTCAAACAGTTGCATTTGCGTGGATTGGATCACACACGTGCCATATCGAAGCACCCGAAAACGTGCGACAGAACGTCACATGTGAGGAAAAAGTGGCAAGGCTTCTTGATTTGATTTCAACGATTCAGCATGTTCATTATCATATTTATAATTGGTTTTTTAATTATGCTTTCTTCGTCTATCCTAAGCCATGTGTCATATTACCAATAAGTTATTTAGTTTGTTTTCTGTTACACATTTGTTAAATTTTATTATTTTTGCTCAAGGTTATTTGCCTACCATTCCTATTTTTAATTTTAATTTGGCCGGAAAAAATGAATACTTTCACTTTTGTCACACAACATTCGCAATACAAATTAAGTTTAAAAAATAAAAAAAAACTTGAAATAAGGAGTTACCAAAACGTATAAGTATATTTCAACCCTTTTGCATTATTTTTCAGTATGGGATCTACATGCATGCTTCTAAACCGCTGTATTCAAATGCAAAAAATAAGTAACAAATCAAATTTTCCGAATTTTTCAAATGCGTTGGTAGCTTTAGAAATTTGAAAGTTTGGTAAACTCCAATACTCTCTAAATTCAGAAAATTTTATAAAATGGGATAGAAGGATTAATAATTTCCGTTTAATTCCACTACCTTATTTGCTTATCCTCGACAGATATGCGTGTTTCGTCTACAATGTGCAGACTTCTTCAGTGCCTTGTACTAATACTCGAGTGTTAGTACAAGACACTGAAGAAATCTGCGCATTGTAGACGAAATACGCGTATCTGTCAAGGATAATTACTAGTTCTTCTCTCTATCTAAGACGTCCATTATTCGTCAGGATTCAAAAAATAGTTTTGACTCCATTATTGCTAATGTTTTCTAAATCTCAGAGTTTTTAAATATTCTGAAGGGCTGGCCATAGGCTCTTCCCCAAGCAACATTGCAAGTTTAACGCGGCTTTATAACTATCTACAAGTCTAAATCATGGTATACATAACCCTCATAAAACCAGAAATGTTACTTGGGTCCTGTCCTGTCTCTGCATTGAAAATCATTGAAATACACGCAAAACCAATGCACGGTGGTCGGAGATGCCACTTTGGTGAACTTAACTGTTTTGTGGTCAAACCGTTGACTTAATCCAAAAACTGTCTGAGAAGAACTGTTCACAAAAACATTGCGCATATTATGACAATTACCAGTATTTGTCATGACATACAATGGAAAAATTTAAAAAACTAACTTTTTTTGCAAAAGAGATAGAAGGGTAGTTTTTTCAGCAAAGTTGTAGTACTTACAAAAATATGAAACTTTGCTGAAGACATCAAATTTGTATGACGAATAATTTTGAAGATATGAAGCGTTTTTGATAGAAACCCCCTTAAATTCAGTTTTTAAATCATAACTTTGTTTATAACAGTTTATAAAGTGAACAATGTTCTAAAAAAAGTTAAGCAACATACAAATACATGTTTCTGCTGAAGATAGTATGTGGCAAAAATCATCCCTTTCAAAGTAATAGTACTTTTTACATTTATATATCCTTAATTTTAGCTGCATATAGGGGAGAAGATGGCAAACCGGGACACAGCACCAAGTACTCGTTTTAAAGCTTAGACTCTATACTACAAAGTAGTGAAAGTTTGGTTAGCGCCAATTCATAAGTTAGTGAATAGGGTCACGTTGAATGTTCACGTGTTTGGCCTTTTTCTATATAAAAATAACCCTATGTCCTCATTTATGAACGGTGAATTACGGATAATAGAAACAGATATTATAAAACTCATTCGTGAACAATAAGGAAATTTTCTGTCTGTATGCATTAACAAAAAATGATAAATTTAAACAAAACATTTTCTAAGACAAGCACTTTGTGTGCTTAGTTTACTCCTGTTGTCAAAATTTTACAAATTGTTACAGATTTTTCGAATATTTTGTACACCTGGGCTGCAAAATAAAAGTAAAAAAAATGGAGATGTACTGGACCTGATGCTGAAAAAGTTAAAGTCCGCAAGAAGCTTATCCAACAACGCTTCAAACAAGCATTGGAAATTCTTTTTGACATGCCACGCGGCAATGGAGCCGGCTCGTCGAACGATGGGAATACTGCGCGACGTTTCTTTGAGAACCCAACAAACAATTTGTGCTGATTAAAGGCTGAATAAGCAATTTTTTAGCTGAAGTAACATATTTTTGTCTGAATAAGCTCTTATTCCACTACCAATGTTTGTTGAGAATGCAGCAGTTCCTGCAGAGATTTCGGGTGTAGACCTGCAGGTGATTGAACGTTGCTCAACTATTTTGCAGGTCTTGTCTTCCGGACTAGAAATCAATGTATCTAAGTTCAAGAACTATTGTCTAGAAATAGCTCAGTTGTTAGTAACCCTATACCCTTGGTTTTACTTGCCCGCCACGGTCCATAAGATTTATTGCACGGATCAGACATAATTCTCCATTTCAATGTTCCTATCGGACAATTGTCTGAAGAGGCACAATAGTCGCTAAATAAAGTAATGAAAAGGTTCAGACTAGATCACACTCGAAAATCATCACGAGCTACGGTGATCTCATGCGGCGACTATTAGTTTCTTCAGATCCACTTATTGCTGGTTTGCGTGTAAAATCTCAGAAGAAGGACAGAGAGTTTTCCGAAGATGCACACTTTTTGTTAGATTTTACAGACAGTGAAGAGGAATCAGATGAATAGTGAAACTTTTTTTTATTTGTTATCATGTTATCTTCTCAGAAAAATTATTATTGTTAAATTACAAATAAAACTACCTAACAGCAAGATAATTGTGTTCTTCTTGACTCACGCGGATAAATGAGAGTGAAAATAAATTTCAAACCTATTTTTAATCCACAATAACCTACATAATCTTCCTCACATGCACACTTATATATACTTTATAGTACAGAGTCTAAGCTTTAAAACGAGTACTTGGTGCTGTGTCCCGGTTTCCCATCTTCTCCCATATATGCAGCTAAAATTAAGGATATATAAATGTAAAAAGTACTATTACTTTGAAAGGGATGATTTTTGCCACATACTATCTTCAGCAAAAACATGTATTTGTATGTTGCTTAACTTTTTTTAGAACATTGTTCACTTTATAAACTGTTATAAACAAAGTTATGATTTAAAAACTGAATTTAAGGGGGTTTCTATCAAAAACGCTTCATATCTTCAAAATTATTCGTCATACAAATTTGATGTCTTCAGCAAAGTTTCATATTTTTGTAAGTACTACAACTTTGCTGAAAAAACTACCCTTCTATCTCTATTGCAAAAAAAGTTATGAAGTAATGAAATTGGGTTGTTAGCGGAATGCCAAATAAAACAGCAAAAGGGTTTATCTTCCATTTAATTCCACTTAATTAATTTTGGTATCCATGACAGATACGTATTTCGACTACAATGTGCAGTCTTCATCAGTGTCATTCCCACTAAAGAACTTATCAAAATCTAACCCCCTTAAGTACTCATCCCCTAGGTAAAAAAGTCAAGATCATAGGTATAAAAATGAAACTACAATGTGTTGAATCGGAACCTACCTAACTAATAAAAACCAAAGATTTAAGTGAGCTAAAGGAGAAAAAATCTATACAACTCTCTAATAAGGAAAATCTCCAAAGGCTTGGTAGCCATCATAATGAAGTAATGAAATTGGGTTGTTAGCGGAATGCTAAATAAAACAGCAAAAGGGTTTATCTTCCATTTAATTCCACTTAATTAATTTTGGTATCCATGACAGATACGTATTTCGACTATAATGTGCAGTCTTCATCAGTGTCATTCCCACTAAAGAACTTATCAAAATCTAACCCCCTTTTTACCTAGGGGATGAGTACTTAAGGGGGTTAGATTTTGATAAGTTCTTTAGTGGGAATGACACTGATGAAGACTGCACATTGTAGTCGAAATACGTATCTGTCATGGATACCAAAATTAATTAAGTGGAATTAAATGGAAGATAAACCCTTTTGCTGTTTTATTAAAAAAAGTTAGTTTTTTAAATTTTTCCATAGTATGTCATGACAAATACTGGTAATTGTCATAATATGCGCAATGTTTTTGTGAACAGTTCTTCTCAAGACAGTTTTTGGATAAAGTCAACGGTTTGACCACAAAACAATTAAGTTCACCAAATTGGCATCTCCGACCACTGTGCAATGTCATGAACATCAAACGTATGAGTGGATTCCTTATATCATCTGTCCACGTTTCTTACAGCAAATGTAATGGCAGTACTTACAATGTATGTCTGGCGAAAACGTAATGATTTTTTAACCAATTTGAACTGTCCAAATCGCACCAGTTTTTACTGTTATTTTAAGAAGGAAATATATCGGAGGTATTGAAAGAGGTATTGGACGTCACTATAGGATCAGGAAAAGAT